ACAAGAACATTTTCACCTTCTGTTCTTTTATGAGAAGTTGGCAGAAACATGGACCTAACCCTTGCAATAGTGAGGATGTTTAAAGTTTTCCCTGTGTTCTAGAGAATCGAAATAATTGATACTATATATGGACAATAGAGTATTTTTCTTCACTGGGACAACTCTGAATCCTTTTTAGTAGATAACTTAACAGAAATCTAGTATAAAAAAGACTTGTATTGGATCGTGCTGGTTTTGTCATGTCACTTGTGAAAGCCTTTTGGAAGGTAATGATATTTTCCTGCGCACTAAGTATGTCCACTAGAAAATACCCAGATAATGGGCATTATATGTCTGATTTACTGAGTCTGGTAGTGGAAATTATCCCATAGCTGTAAGCATAATGATGTTTCAGGTGTGCTTGCTTATCTGCAGATCTTCTAAATTACAGCATTTGCTTTCACAGCATGTAGAAGAGTCCTGTGAAGATGAGTCTTCCAGTGATAAAATATAGACTGTACTTTACCTAGTCATGGGTAAAATTTTGATAGCAAGATGCTGCAAAATAACTTCAGTAGAGATCCATTTGATAAATTGATTAGTTTCTAAAATGCTTCCATGAATTCTTAGAGACAAATTAAGATCATTTGAAGAAATATTAATCCATATTTATTTTAAATAATGTTTTATAAAACTTGCTCACTTTTTCTTTTTAGAGGTCTTTGAATACTAGTTGTGCTAGTATTTTACTTCATTTTTCAAATGTATCTCCATTTTGATTGAAATAGACACAACTATCCTACAGAGTAAGACGTGTCAACAAGAGGACTACTTTTAACATCTCGTTGGTACCTGCAGTTGTGCAAAAATAGCTGGAAATTCATTAATCCATAGACTTTGCTCTTTTATAATGCAGTGTAACTCTTGGGAAAGACACAGCTCTCGAGTTACTGAATACATCATTTTAAATGTCAGGTTTCTTAAATAACTCATTGACTTTTTTCCTTTACTTAGAGGTCTAGATGAGTCTACATTCTGTTCTTCAATTCATAACGAACACAGCATGGGACTGACAAAGGGAATGCATGATTACAGGTAGTATTACGGTATTTGAGGGAAGAATTGTTTTGGTTCTATTACCTGTGCTCAAAGTGCTACCAAAACTCAAAGACAATTGAGTGGTTGGTGTTTACAGACAGGCTCTTACATTTCCTTCAAAGAAGGCTGTTAGTTGTGTGAAATTCTTGTTTTTCTTACCTATGTGATGGGTAGGAACTAGACTTCAATATTGTGTTGATTTACTTTTCTCAAACTACGCTGTGGGAATCAGAACTATTGCTTAACATAATTCAGGATATATTTCTGAAATTGTATTTACACTTAACATTTTGAAATAAAATGAGTGTACGGGAAGAACAGCAAGTAGTTACGTTGTCAACGGTATTGACAGGTATACGGTGAAATTTGGCTGTTGATATAAAACAAAGGATTTATTTTTTCCACATAACTCGCCTCTGAGTGATATAAGTGTTACCATAAAGTATTGTCATTGTTGAAAGGCGTGTATGGGTTCAGAGGCAAATAGAGTGATTCCCAGTGGAAAAGTCCATCGAGAGTTCTTTACTGGAAAGATGCTCATTTGTCTCAAGCTGCACATTGTTGAAGGTTTGAAGGGAACACTGAGGGAGATCGCTCTGCTGCTTCTTGTTTTCTTGCCCATCCTTGGCTAGTGGACATTGTGAGAGAGGGGATAATGTGCTAGATGGCTAATAAGGAATATTGGATGCCAGGAAGCAGCAAACCTGGCCTAAACTGTAACTAATTTCTTATTTTAGGAGGATCAGGCTGAAACTTCATAGGTCTTGGGACTTTGGCTTCAATTTTAAAAGCTTAGTTAGTATCACAGGTGTGTCCTGTAGCTTGCATGGTTCTGTCTCTGGTTGGTTGGGGGTAAATGCATCCCCACTTTTTCTTTTAACTATGGTTGAGATGAAGTAACTGAGGGGGGAAAAAAAAAAAAGCGCCTCATTTTTTAACATGCCCTTTTAGACTAACAGTGTAAGTATGCCTGTCCAGGGACACAGCTGAATTGCATAGGTAGAGAACTTCTTAGTGTCGGAAAAACCTTTAAAGTGTAACTTTAATGGTTCGGGGATTTCTTAGTTCTCAAGTGTGAACAGCAAGCTGGAATATATATTGTAAAAATGTAGATATGTACTTCATTGTTGATGTTCTACTTTATTGATATACAATGCAAACTGTTGCATTCCTGACTCTTTTTTTTGCAAATGAGACCTTAGAATTTAAAATATGGAAACATCTGCTTGCTCATCGGTCCATTTTCTGTCAATTTGTCTTTTCCTACAATAAAAGCCTTTTCCTTAAGAGCATCCTGTAAGGGCTTCTTCATGGCAATATCATTTAACCAGCTCACCTCCCAGCAGAGGTTAGTTTCTTGCCCCCCCCCTTTCATGGTTTGTATTTCTCCATGCTAAGGATAAAACTAAGATATAGAACCATGAAAACAGTGTCTTACTGCAGAGTAAGGTTCGCTTGTTTGAACTTAAGTTTATGAGAACCCCACGTTGGCTTCCAGAATGACATGTTTAATAACATTGGACCTATACACAGTTTACAGGGAAATCTTATTATGAAAGAATCTAAAAATGAAGTTACAGTTTAAATTGAAGTATAAAATAATTGTCTTTGTATTGGAACATGTCACTGGGTAAATGCTTTCTGAGGAACACCTTTTGAAACAATATGATAAATGAAAGGGGCCACAGAATAAGTAATATTTTATACTTTCTCATGTTAATGGAATTACTTTGAAGATAATAAGATTTCTAATAAAAATGTTAACTGTCTTTTGATATTTTCCTTTGATCCAGAAAAGCATTCTATGGAGTAAATGAAATTGCTGTGAAAGTGCCTTCCATTTTTAAGCTTCTGATTAAGGAGGTAAGATCCTTTATTTGTCAAAAAAAAAAGAAAAAAAGAGTATATAATGAAAAGTTGCTGTAAGTACAATGACTGTTGGACTGGTCTTCAAATAATAATAATGTAAACCAGAGACTTTTCCCCAGAGCCCAGCACTGTAAAGCAAAATGACATGGACCTTTATTTTGGAGCTCTTCAAACTTAAGAGGCCTTAGCTGTAAGCTGTTCAGAGTTCACAACCTGGTGCATTAGCAAGGACGTTAGAAAACGTGTCAGAATTCTTTGAGAGGTTATGCATCTCATTTAGTTTTGTTACTCATTTCAAACATAAACCGACCAATTGTATTCTCCATTTTCAGTCCAGAAATTATACATTACCACATAGGCATCAAATCAAATGTGTTCTTGCATATACTTTTGTTGGATTTGTTCCATTTTCCTTGTATTGAGTGGATTTGAATAATTGACTTGTTATCCATGTGATAAAATAATGCATGATGGAAACTCTTTAACAAAGAAACTCTACAACCTGAACTAACAGAATAAGAACTTGAGGTGTTGGTGCATTTATTAATAAGAAATAGATAATAGCATCCAAATTAATTTAAAAGTTGTAACTTAAGGTGCATAAGATGTTACTGTCATTTTACTTTGAGATGTAGGGGGAAAATGCACACAGTCTTAGAAGTATGTATTTGTGTATTATTTCACTGAGAACTGTGCTTTTGAGGGGTTGAGGAAGTAGTGAAAAGAGGGATCAGTTCGGCAAAACAGGCAAAAATCATGTATAAGAACTGAAAGGTTTATCTCCTTCATGGAGGAGGGGGATGATTCTTACTCTTTTCTGATGGAGAATGTGTGTGACCTTGTGGTGTAACGCTAATGTTCTGTCACTCTTCTAGGTTCTCAACCCTTTTTACATTTTTCAGTTGTTCAGTGTGATATTGTGGATCACTGATGAATATCACTACTATGCATTAGCAATTGTGATCATGTCTGTAATATCCATTGTTAGCTCACTCTACACCATTAGAAAGGTAAGTTCAAAGAAAACAGGTGCGTCTTTTCAGCTTTTTGCTGATGGCTTTATTTTGATGTGAGATTGCTGACAAATGTTTGAGAATTTTTCAGAGAAATACAGCTGGAATATTATTATGGGTTTTCCCTCTTTGAGCTGAAAGGATTTGGATTTACAGTTCTCTTTGAGACCCTTCTCTTCTGACTTTCCATGCTGTTGAATCAGTAGGTTGATCTCGGGTAACAGAGACACTGCCTCACTTAAATAAAACCCAGACGTAAGTTTATGTACCAAGTTGTATTGACAGTAGTGATTCCATCTTGCATTGTTTCCTTCTGTTTGAAAAAGTCCAACGGAATTGAGCACCAGCCAAATGTGGATTGTTAAATTGGTGGTGCATTTTTCTCTGTAGACTTAGCTGTAGCTGATGGAAATCATAGTAATTATCCTTAATTGCAATCTCTGAATCCAGACCAGAAACAAAGAAACCCTCTTACTGTAATCGAAGTTCATCCAACTACTGCAGTTTTAACTTATGTATGTTAATGACCAAATGTTTTTATAACATTTTGCATGGCAGTGTGTATTTGCTTCCAGAGTGCTGTTAGAAATAGGAACATGTACGTGTTGATGCACTGAAACATTATTTGCCCATAAGTTTCCTAAACTATGTTCAAAGCAATGTTCTGAGTCACATTTTGTTGTAAAAGATTGTTAGTAAAGTATCTCATCACTTCTACTTGTGGAGATAGAATGTGTGTTTAGAAGATGACAAGCTGTGCTTTTGAATAATGAACTGTTTTCTCCCATTTGCAGCAATATGTTATGTTACATGACATGGTAGCAGCTCACAGCATTGTCAGGGTTTCTGTCTGCAGAGGAAACCAAGGTAAATGTCACAGGTGGTTTGGAAGGTTGAGTTTAAATTGCTCATTAAGTGTGAGTGTGAAGTTGGTGTGTGTCTGTTCTTTCTTTGGTCAGCTTGAAATGCGTGCATTTCTTAGTAAAATTGCATGGGAAAAGGAGAAGTTGCAAAGTGGAGTTTAGATATGATAATCATCTGTTCAGGATTATTCTTCTATGTGGTATATTCAGAGAATATCAGGTTTGTTCTAGATTAGGTGCTTGTGCTATTCCTGTTTCTCATTATCTACAACTGCTGTAGTAGTTTCTTTCTTGGCTTAAAGACGTGCATGTGTTAGGTTTCTGTTACAATTTATTACCCAGCAGGGGCTCTAAATTAATTTCTGGACTTTTGCTCATTTGTATACCACAGTAGTTGAAGATGGTTAGGTTGTGGTGTGTGATGCTGTTTTGTAAGACACACATTTGTGTTGGATGTGTGCCTTTATACTGAAGTTATACTGTAGTTAATTGTTAATATCTTTTGTACAAGCTTGATTCCTTTCATTTGTTACAGTGAGCTGTATCCATGTGCTTTGGAGTTTAACTTGTGGTGGAATTGGTTTTATCAATGGCTTTTTCTGTATCTTCTCAAAAACTTTTCATAATGCCATTAATAAAATGGAGTTTAATCTTAATTGTCACTGCCTGGATCTTGGCTGTGAGGATCTCTGTCAGGTTTTGTAGATGGTGGTGATTTTCAGGTAAACCTGTTTGTGTTTTAACACTCAGAAATAGAAGAAATCCTTTCCACCGACCTCGTGCCTGGAGATATCATGCTGATTCCATCTAATGGGACAATTATGCCCTGTGATGCAGTACTTCTCAGTGGTACTTGCATTGTAAATGAAAGTATGTTAACAGGTAAAGTAAACTTACCAGGTTCGCGTAGCTAAATATTAATTTATACCTGTGTGCGTGCTTAACTTGCAGTGTGTTCTAGCGGAGGTGGATATGTTTGTTTTGCTTGAAATGTGTGTGTTCTTGCAAGTACATATGCTGCTACGTACACTTATGTACTTGTGTTCTGCTTATCTGCATCAGCTACCTTGTACTGCTTGGCAATTCCAAAAATGAGCAATGGTTTCTTGTTGAAAAGCTTTGTTCTTCATAGTTTGTCTTCTTGCCTCTTGTCTTGGTGTTCTCAGCACAGATTGAGTTCCGCAGAATGTTTCTTCAGAAAATGTTTACCCAAACTTTTTAGCTGCTTCCAAGAATGAAGGTAGTGAGTAGAATGTTTTGGTGTATTTAAAAGCAGAAATTATCTCAAGTTGTGCCTGCATACTCTAAAACCAGGGACCTGATGTGTTTGAAGGACAGCTTCAGTGAATAGGATGGGCTTTTTATTATTCCTAGGATAATCTGTCCAAAGTGGCAGTGTTTAGAAAATTGTAGCTCAGAGATTATGTGTTTTATCGTGTTCAATTCATTGAATATACTTGGGCCTCTTGCTGCTAGCAACAGATAAAAATTGATTGCAGCCCTAGCTTGAGTGTACTCAGTCACCAAAGGAGCCGAGAATACCTTTCTTCAGCTTGTAGTTTTTCTGGGTAAAGGTGGGGTGATGCCTTGCCGCAGGAGGAAACTTGTCCTGTTTTCTTTCAATTAACTGTATTTTACACCTATCTGATTTGAAGTAAGAGGCACAAAAGCTGTACTGGTGAATAATGAATAGGGTTAAATAGGGTTTGGATAAGGAATCTGGTGAAACACCACATAATAACGTGTTGAAAGGAAGATGACTACTTCCGTAAGTCTGCTTCTGTGCTGATGAAGTGAGATTATATTGTTCTACTTGATCATGAAGGAAATGTCTATTATTTGATCTTGCTTAGAGACTCTTTATTCATTTAAGGTGAAAGTGTTCCTGTCACAAAGATTAATCTACCAAACCCTTCAGAACATCCAAAAGCAATGGGAGATGAAATATACAGCCCAGAAGTGCATAAACGACATACTTTGTTCTGTGGAACCAATGTCATTCAAACCCGTTTTTATACTGGAGAATTGGTCAAAGCTCTAGTAGTGAGAACAGGTATCTATTGTTAAGTTTATCACTTGTTAATGTGCTACTTGCTTTTGTAGGTGTATGTGAACTGATACTTTGGAGTATTGTGTTGAATGTTGCTAAGCTTGGATAAACAAGTATACCCCAAATAATTTGCTAAATATTTTACAATAATAATAGAACTAGATAATAGTCTGGAGAGTACCGGTTGGCAAGCAAGAAAGTGAATCAGTCTTTTGCATACATTTAAAACTTACCTGAATGCATTTTCTAGTCCTTTGGATAGATGTCTTTTACAGTGTGTTGGTTGAACTACACATGCCTCTCTGAAAAGGCATGGCATACCGTCAGATTGGGTGGGTAGCGGGGAATGGCTTGTTTTAGTGGGGTTATTGGCAGTGTCACATGTTTTTCTTTGCCCATAGTTTTGTCAAAGCACGTAACATTTGCTTAAAAAAATGTGTTCAATCTAGCCCTTTCTGCAGAACTGCTTATTCATACTAATATGTTAAAGGTTTGGGTTTAGAAAATACAGATGTTCTATTAAAAACAATTGCACAGAGACCTAGTTGTGGTATTCTGCTTTACAAAGATGATGCTAAGAAAACCACCACAAAATAGATGAATGTAAGCTATAATCCGAGCTACAGTAGGACTGGATAGAATAAATTTAACTGCATTGGCTAGAATACTACCTGAAGCAACTTTTCCAAGTAACTTCATCTTAATTATCCTCTTCTTCCTCTGGTGTCTTCTCTTTGCCTTACCTTCTGTTAGTCTGTTTTAGCAGTAAATGTTCTGATTTTTTAATTAAATTCCTTAATGTCTTTCTAGAGGCTTTTAATAGTCTTTTTTTTGAGGAAAAGTATTTCCCTTCCCTTGAACACATCTCCTCTTTAACAATATCCAGCTCAACTTCTTTTGTTTCCTTAAATAAGAAATTTTGTGTGCCCAGCCTGATGCGTATATACAGATAGGTGGTCCAAAACAGCAACAGAAATGAACGGCTGAAGACTTACTTCTTCTACTCTGTGGGAAGGATGATGCTTTTTTTTTTTTTGAGGTCTGAAACCATAGTCTGGAACTCTTAACAAGGAGAGCTGTAATTGCTTCCAACACACTGAGTCTTACTGCCCTGACATCTGAAGTAATTTTTTTAATCTGCTCTTTGCCTGTGGCAGGTCAGAGTTAGCTCCAGTGTTTTAAACACGACGAACTTAGCTCTGTGGAACTTGTTCAGATTTTACGTATGGACAAGTGCACTTTTCCTGATATGTCTATATATAGAGAGAGAGGAGGAAAGGGAGATATAAAATCCTCTCTGTTCTCCTGTCTGGTGTACAGGGATGGCTGTTAGGCAAGTAAGGAATTGCCCAGTCTACGGAACTCGATAGATGTCACAGCACTTGTAGCGTCTTGCTCCTAAGATGTCTGATAGTAAGAACTAAAGTAATTCTTACCTAGTGAGATACAAGTAAAAATTCCTTTATCTGAGGGAGGAGAATGCCACAAAATTGAAGATGCTAGAAAATTTAGTCCTTAAAAGATTTCTAGGAGAGTAGAACTCCATATGGTTGTGTGCAAAGACATGTAGTTTTAATCTTTTCATGAATCAGGATATAAAATTGATCTGCTGGGACTGTACTCACAGTACTCTTCAGAGTTAAGGCTTTAACATGAAATGTTTGCTATTACAGCTGAAATACACATAAAATAATGATGAACAAAATGTATTATTCTTTTTGCTTCCAAAACTCCGTTCATGGCTATGTTAGTGTGTGTAGCATTGTGGCTCCTATGGTAACTGTAAAGAATTCAAAACTGGTAATTTTTTTTTAGAGAACAGAAATGTTCACTGAAGTGATCTGTATGTCCAGTGTGTTCTCAAGACATCACATGAGGTTTTCATTTATTGTTTTACCCTGGTGTGTTCTAGCCTATGTGGCTACAGAACACTCTGCAAAACCATTGTTAAAAAAAGAAAAAAGAGAAGTAGTTCTGATTTTTTTTTTTTTTGACTGCTGTGTCAAGTTACAAAGTGTTCATGACTAAATACTCGAGTGCATACTGATGTACAAGCCCATGGCTTGTATTTTGCAGTAGCACATTCAAAGCCTGGAGGCTTCACGTCTTGTTCCTCTTGTGGTGAACTCATCGTCTTTAAAACTGATGCAATAGCTGCATTGTGCCTGGTGGAATCTCTTATGCCAGATACCAGCGTGGAGAGCTTAGTCTTTGCTATGCTGGCTTGCAGACTGAGAAGCTGTCGAGGAGGTGTCACTAATGCCAGGAGACCTGACATTGATATTGAGGTTGTAGTAATAGACTTTGAAGTCTGAGCAGATACAAAATATTTTGGGCATTCAAAATTGGGCACTGGTGTTGGCCTCTTCACATGTTGAGGCAAAGGTTCAAGGAGGATCTCAGACTATCTATTGGTTGTCTGACTCTGAGACCCTTAGAAGTCTCGTCTCCCAGTTTAGGTGTCAAAATGCGATCAAGAGGTGGATTTCTCTGAAAGGTGACGGTGCGCTGCAGTTTTTTCTGAGTCTTTCTGTCTGTCAGGGGAGCTAACGGAGACTTGCCATTTAAGTGCTTAAGATTGGACTCTGTGAATAACTTAATTTTCTTTTTGCAAGGACTGGCTTAATTAGACAACTAATAAATATACCCACTAGCTCCACACTGTGAGGGACAAAATGCAGTGCAGCAAACACTTCCAGGCCAAACCATTTGAGGGTTTACTGCTGCTGTAGATGAGGGGTTTGTTTGCGTCAGCTGCATGTCCTTGCTGTAGGAGAGCAGCACTTAGTATGATGTGTGCGTATGTTTTTGAAGCACCTTAATTACAGTATTGCAAAACATCTGTTACTGTATATTGAGAAACAGTCTTAATGAAATGAGTAGCTTAAGGGTTTGGTTGAGGTTTTTAATAATTTGAATATCTTTGCTCTTGTTTGTACTTTTAGTAATGTAACTCCTTTTCATTTATAGGCTTTAGTACTGCTAAAGGACAGCTTGTTCGTTCCATACTGTATCCAAAGCCAACTGATTTTAAACTCTACAGAGATGCCTATTTGTTTCTCCTGTCTCTGGTAGTGGTGGCAGGCATTGGGTTTCTTTACACGGTTGTCAATAGCATCTTAAACGAGGTATGTTTTCATTTTTGTTCTGGAACTGCCTTATTTTAGAGAAGGGTTGATCATGATTTCCAACACACTTCAGATGATGAAAACCAATTTGATTTTAAGTGAAAATTTCTTTTCTCTATTTTGTATCAATGGAACAAGAGAGACAAGCTTACTGAGAACCAAGCTTATTAGAGAAGCAGAATTTGAATATATTACAGTGAAATTTGAGTTTACCTCAATTTCTATTGACCCAATTACTAGACTTTTATCTTTATTATATGTAAGATTACCATCTGACTGATATCCAGTTGGAAGAAGTAGGATACAGCACAACTAGAGCATATGCTGCAGGCAAAAAAATCCTTACCAAGAAATTGGTAACTGATAACTAATTTTTTTTTTCCTCTCAAATTTTTGCATTATTCGGTTACTGTTTTAAAGTAATATATTTGCAGGGGAAAAAGTGAAAACTTGAAGATATGGGTTGTGGATAATTTAGGACTGGATTATCATGGTTGCTGATGGCGGGTGAAGATTATGCTAGGTTTCTGGGCAATCCAGAACATGCTGTGCTGGGGAAAGCAATGTGTGGATTTTGCTTTTGATAACAGTGATGTAACACTTCAGTGGGATAGTAAATTTTTAAGAGGAGTTCTTGTTCATTAACTTTGACCTTTATTGCAGGTTCCAGCTCATACCATCATCATAGAGTCTCTTGACATTATCACTATCACGGTGCCTCCAGCACTCCCTGCTGCCATGACTGCTGGCATTGTTTATGCACAAAGAAGGCTGAAAAAACTTGGCATTTTCTGCATCAGCCCACAAAGGATAAATATTTGTGGCCAGCTGAATCTTGTCTGTTTTGATAAGGTTAGGTGAATTTTGAAACTTTGTGTTGCCACCTGGAGTGGCATTATATTATAAATGGGAATTCGTATAGTCTAGCAACTGCAGGAAAATTCATTACTTTTGTAAAAGATCATTTTTGTCCTGTTAGCTTCCAGGTATTCAGCGTTTACCACCTGTTAACTCGTTTAATTTAGTCTGCTCTAAAAAGTTGTTATAATACAGAGCTGCTTTCTTATCTCAGGACTCCCAAGTCCTAACTTAATACTGGCACTCCAGATATGTGAGAGTTGGGGGGTCTGTTAAGAGTTTTATTTAGTACACAAGCTTCTAGAAAGTTGAAGTTTGAGGACAGACTTGTTTCTCATTTTCATTTATTTTAGTAAAAGCCAAACCAGCATATTTTGTTGTTACATGAGTGAAAGACAGCAATGCCACTAGCCAGAATACTTTGCTTTTAGCTAATTCTTACATAAAATTTTCTTTCCTCCTTAGATTTTATCTACAGTCTTAAGTACCCACACTATTATTTCCTTTGTAAATATATTCTAATTACAGTTTTAGCTATGTAAGAACGGAGAGTTTAGTACTAAGTGTTTACTACCTATTTTCTGTTGCCCCCAACCCCTGAATATAGAGATGTTGAGCTATCATCTTTGGATTTTAAGGGTCTGTTTCATTTGTCCAGTCTACAAGGAGGGGCATGATTGCTTTGAATGGCTTTTTAAGTTATTTAACAGAGCTGGAACTTAGGGACATACTGTGTATCCTGTCCTGAAGTCTTGATTTTTAAGTGAAAACAAAATAAAATGTTGTTCAGGTGTAACTTCTTTAATTAGCTGTTAATTTTTGCTTTGGCTGAGGGTAACTTGTTTCTGAAGGCTTTTTCTTCATGCCATGCCCCTTGGTTTATTTTGCAGACTGGCACACTTACTGAGGATGGCTTGGATCTTTGGGGAATTCAACGGGTGGAAAATGCTCGGTAAGGACGAGCTCAGAGCTGACAGCAAATATGATACTTAGTTGTGCTTTAACAGCTTCAGCAGAATAGACTAGAAAATTCAGTCTGAGCTCCTACATGTTTGAATTTCTGTAATGAGCTGTAAGAATGCAACTGAACATACGGTTTAGGTGTAGTGAAAGTTAATAACTCTCTCACGAGGCTCAGGTGGATTTAATTAGTTTGAGACCTCATTAGATTCATACTGCAGAAATGATGCAGTTCAAGTATAGCATCCTTAATCCTGGCCTCCCAAGTGATGACTTCTCGGGCTGCTGAAATGAATTAGCTTAGCTAATTGGGTTACATACAAAGTGATGAGGGCTCTATATGAGAAGTCAAACTAGACAGTGAATTAACACAGAGTTTTTGACAGACGGAAGTTGTGACTGTTCCTGAAGATTCCAGCCCAGAGTCTTAATCTGTTTTCTGTGATGTGTGAAAATACAAGTGAAGGGACTTGTGTAGTCAATTTTCATCTGTTAATCTAAACAAATCTTTTTTGAATTGGCTCATAATAAATAATTATAGTGCTAAGTATATTACTGCTTCATTGTTTTAGTTTCCTTTTGCCGGAAGAGAGGGCTTGCAGTGAGAGCTTGCTGAAGTCTGAGTTTGTTGCTTGCATGGCAACTTGTCACTCCCTTACAAAGATTGAAGGGGTGCTTTCTGGGGATCCGCTTGATTTGAAGATGTTTGAAGCAATAGGATGGGTAAGTGTCTGCTTGTTTCAAGAGAAGCAACGTTTTTAAGATCAGTAATCTGAACTTTCCTGTGCTGTTACATACAAGATAAGCCATTATATGCTGTTTCAAGCTGTAACTGTAAAAACAGTGGGCTTTTGACAATGTGTCAAAGGAAGTCTTCATATGAAAATGTTCCTAAAGTGTGTTCTGTGCAACAATTCATAGAACTGAAAGAATCCGAAGAGCTAATTCACTGCTTTCTGATACTGTGTCTGGCAAGGTTTCAATGCGTATAATAGACATGTAAAATAGCTAAGTGGATCTTAACTGCTAAATTAACACGCTTAATTCTCACAGGAAATCTTGTTTAGAAAGATCATTGCACCTTGGGCTGACTTCCAAGTCTGCTTTTTTTTTTCTGAAAATTACATTTTGAGAAAATCAAAGTTAATGAATGTATAAATTAGTTGATTGTTTTTAATACAGATTTTAGAAGAAGCAACTGAAGAGGAAACAGCCCTTCATAATCGAATCATGCCAACAGTGGTTCGACCTTCAAAACAACTTTTCACAGAATGCAAGCAAGCAACAAATCAAGAAATGGTAAAAGAATTGCTTTGAATTTTTATGAGTTAAAGTAATCCATGTTAAACAAATACATTTGAACATATGCTGTGGTTCTAGCTGATACAATTCAAACAGGATCAAAACTGTGTGGGTTTTGGTGACAAAGATAGAGAAGACATGTTTAAACCATTGTTGGGAGTAGTGGTCAGTATATGCCACTTCCAGGGTGAGCAGACTGATTGTCAGCGTTGTTACCCTTACGGACTGGTTATAAAGTGCTGTAATGCTTTTTGAGCTTCCTCATTTTGATATTAACGTCATTATCAAATTCTTACTGTGCTAATGAAGTGCTTAGGTATGTTCACCTGCGGTTTCATTTAAAATAATTGTTCATTAATGTCACTGCATGGCACTGAATTCTTGCCACTGTTTTACCTTAGAGGTGTATGCTGTAATTAAATTAAAAAGAGTCAAAAAGAAAATGTACTTGGCAGATATAAAAATTTCTTCTATCTGCATTTTGAAGTATTTTTTTAATACTTCAGGGGGGGAAATTTAAGTATGTGACTATATATCCAGGTTAAGTATGTGACTGTATATCCAGGTTATCAGAGAGAAGGGTAGCAGGAGGGTATAGCAAGTTGGTTGCTCTGTCTATATCTATCCTATAGTAGGATAAGCGTCTTTTATTGTTCAGAACTCGGTGTACGTGCACAGCAGTAATTACTGTGCAGTAGTTGACATGGGAATGTTCTCTGGAGACATTCAAAACCCACCTGGACGCGTTCCTGTGTGATCTGCTCTAGGTGGTTCTGCTCTGGCAGGGGGGTTGGACTGGATGATCTTTCGAGGTCCATTCCAACCCCTAACATCCTGTGATTCTTGAAACTTATTACGTGATTTTTTTGGGGTATACTTAATATCATAGTCTCATTTTGAAATACGATAGTACTTTAATCACTTACATAAGCTAAACAGACACATGTTGAACTGTGAAAGGTCTTGCAAATTCTGATCAAGAAGTCAAGCTCTAAAGTTCTCCTGTGTCTCACTTAAGGGATACTAAACAGGTGCAGTATATTCATATTCAGCTTTTATGAAATCCACTGCAAATACAACGTGACTTTATATTGAGAATGCTGTGTAGATTAATTTACTGATTTACGTTGAAATAGTTTGTAGCTGAAAAAATACTTTAAAATATTAATATTTACAATAAATATATTTTCCTCTTTTTTTAGGAATTGTTTGAGCTATCGGTAAGTATGCCTTTTCAGTTAAGTACATACCTCTTTTCTTAGAATGTATGTGGATGTAACCCTTTTCTTCCTTCCTTCTTGTATGACACAGACCGGTTACGAGATTGGAATTGTGCGCCAGTTTCCATTTTCTTCAGTTTTGCAACGTATGTGTGTAATAGCGAGAGTTCTAGGGGAGAAGAGGATGGATGCTTACATGAAAGGTGCCCCTGAAGTGATTGCCAGCTTGTGTAAGCAGGAAACAGGTAAAGGAAAAAATTATTTTTATTTCTTGTGTTGCTCAGCTGTAATATGACTAATTTTAATAACTCTAAACTTGACCTTTTTAAAGTTCCTGTTGACTTTGAGTGTGTCCTGGAAGAATACACTAAGCAGGGCTTCCGAGTTATTGCTCTTGCTCACAGAAAATTGGAGTCTAAGCTTACATGGCACAAAGTCCAGACTATTAATAGGTAAGAGTGACTTCACTTTTTTAATAAGTAACAGGGTTTAGAAGCTGCATGCTTTGGATTAATTGTGTAATATTTATTTTTGTTTAAGTCAATTACTACTACTCTTTAGCTTTCTTTTATCTTGACATAGGTAGTTCAGTGCATTCTTTATTGTACCCTGGAAAACACATAGAAATTTAAGATAAGGAAGTTTTTCTGCAATAATGTGAATTCTGAGGAATATCTTTAAGCTTGAAATGAACTGTAATATTAATTTTTATGGCGTTTATTTATGCTGACATGGCAGAAAACTCACTGGTGGAGTGGTGTGAGGAGCAGAAAAAGCCTTGGCTCTGTGTAAGCACTGCTCAGCAGTAACTGAAACTCCCTGTATTGTCAATGGTGTTTTCAGCACAAATCCAAAACACAGTGCAATACTAGCTACTGTGAAGAAAATTAACCCTGTCCCAGAGAAAACCAGCACTGTGCATGTTTGATTTAGTTTCTTCATCTGCTGTAGGCAGCATGTCCATTTTCTCATTGCAAAGCTTGTCAGAAGGGTTTGGAAGGTAGAAAGGTTTCTTCCTTCAAAGAGCAGTATTTCCTGTTAATTATTTTTCAGCTGGTCCTAGTTTTGTGGATAATGCTATCTTTTTCCATAGTGTTTGAAATTGTAGAATCACTATGAGGGTGCCAGCTTTGATTTTGCTCTTTTGTATCAGCTCTGTGTACAAGATTAACTTTTTTCAAAGCAGAGAAATGAGTTTCCCAATTTCAGGAGTGAAAATGTAGAGCAGTAAAATACCCAAGACCTGTAAATACACTGACTTTCCTGCAAACCAAAGTTAGTTAGTTGCTTTACTTAATTAGCTCATGCCTATTAATCTTACTAGCCTTGATACCATAGTTTGGTAGCTTATATGTTAAGGTTCAACTAATCTAGAAATTAGGGGTGTGCATTCTAAACAAATCTTAAAGTTTGGCTGTGAATGCAGTTAGCTTTAGAACATCTTTCCTAGCAGTAACCTTTTTGAGTATGCAATTTCTTTTAGAAGGAGTTTTTGTCGAAGAAACTAAAAATTGTGCTTGAGAAGAAACAACATTTTATCATACTGATTTTCAACTAAAACAAGGGGAATAAGTGATGGTGAATGATACCTCAGGCCACTTCTTTATAAAGCAAATTCTTCACTTTTCATGGTTAAAAATAAACATTTCCCTTTACTTTGATAAACAGAAAATCAGGCTGTTTAAGCTACGTCTAATAATTGTAATTCAAATATTCTCTTCCTTGCCTCCTTTTCTACAGAGATGCTATTGAAAGCAACATGGATTTTATGGGGTTAATTATAATGCAAAACAAGCTAAAGCAAGAAACCCCTGCTGTACTTGAAGATTTGCATAAAGCCAACATTCGCACTGTCATGGTTACAGGTTGGCATGTAAACATTTGTACTCAAGATAAAAACCTATCTCTTTTTGGTCTGATTTTAATTATAGTGTATGAAGTAAGTGTCAATAGGCTGGGATTACACCGTATCTGTAGAAATAGAGAAATTTAGAAATTGTTGTGAGAATATTCAGACACCAATCTGTTTCTTTTTGGGTGAAAGTTGCTTTCGTAAGTCAGAGATTGGAAACTAGTATAGGGTTTAATACTATTTTGTAGTTTTCTCTCCCTAGTTTCATGCTCAAGTTACTTTATACTGGTTTGAAGGATGAAAAACCTTAGAGGTCTTCCAAATCAGACTAGGCAAAAGTCCTGGTCTAATCCTATGACTGACCGTGTTTTGAGCAGGAGGTTGAACTAGATGACCTCCTGAGGGTCCCTACCATTTTGAATTATATTATAAGTCACTTTGATATTTTATTTTTATTTTTATTTTTATTAGGCGTGACTTATGTCCTCATAGGCAGGCTAGGTATCTGTGCTCAGTGTTTTCCATGCAATATGTGTGTTTACTTTTTAAACCACAGGCATTGCAACTTTGGAATAATGTGGCGATAGGTTAGCAGTACAACTCAGTGTTTGCATGTTCTGTGACCATGTTTAAAAGCAGTATTTTAAATGGCTGCATGTTTTCTGCCTGATTTTCAATATACGCTAAGATTTGATCACTAAGAGATTTTTATGGCTGAAAGCATACAAAGTTTTTAGTGATGTTAGTGGAAGGGGAGGGATTTAACGGGCTAGGCTTTGAATGTTGTCTGTAGGCTTGGTTTGCCCTGAGGTTGCCCTCACTGGTACATTAGACAGTCCTCCTCCTAGTTTAAAACTGGCTTTGTTAGCTTTTCTCTTACATGGAATATCAGTACATGCTATTGATCCTCTTCTAACTGAAACCTTTCTAAATGCAATTGTTTAACAGGGGATAACATGTTAACTGCTATCTCTGTGGCCAGAGACTGTGGAATGATTCTACCTCAGGATAAGGTCATTATTGCTGAAGCACTACCTCCAAAGGATGGGCAGGCTGCCAGGATCAACTGGCATTATGCAGATACCCTTGCAAAATGCACTAGTTCTTCACCAGCCATAAACTCAGAGGTAATATGAGCATTATTGTGCATTAGAGTGTAAGCAGTTAGTTTTACTGTTGAGTTTCTTCCTTTTTATCTTATTCCGTTAAAAAGCAAATCTGCTGCTAAATGTGAAATCAAAATTGATGTACTGGTTAACTTTCAGACCTTAAAATACCACAGAGCAGTAAAACAGCTGGGGGAGGTAGTTTTTCAACTGTAGTACGACATTTGATGTTTTAGTTGTGCAGGAGACAGGTTCTTTTCCACATTTCATTCTGTTAAGACACATCTAGCTGCTGCTTATTACTAAATAAGTGTTTTCATTGTGTGAGGTTTTCGTTCAAGTAACATTCTTAGAAACCTCCTCTAGTGTGAGAATACCTCCCTATTAGCTTGAAATTACAAGGTGTAATTACAGCTAGAGTGTTAAACTACTTCTCGTAGGATATTCCAGTTAAATTGGTTCATGAAAGCCTCGAGGATCTCCAGATGACCAAATACCATTTTGCAATGAATGGAAAGTCATTTGCAGTGATTTTGGAGCATTTTCAGGACCTGGTACCCAAGGTGAGCATTTTACTTGAATATGGGCGCTTTTGATGGTTAACAGGCTTTGCCCTGTGAGCATTAAGAAGTCTTCTGTCTTCCAGCTTGTGTTACATGGCACTGTGTTTGCTCGCATGGCGCCTGATCAGAAAACTCAGTTGGTGGAAGCTTTACAGAATGTAGAGTAAGTATTTGCTTAAGCACAGAAAGTGGGAGAGTTGACGGGGTGTTCGGTGTGACAGGAGGGAAAAATGATGCATGCTGCTAGCTGTTTTGCCGAATGGAAAAGGCTGGGCTCATGGGACTTCCTTGAGTTAATAAATCAGCCTATTAGCTGAGCAGAATGAGAGTAGTACCATCTGCTGGCTAGTTATGAAAGTTTCAGACTTTTTGTGAAGTTATAAATGATGAATAACTAAACTGACTAGCTCGTTTTATAAATCTCACTGCTTGGCTCATTAAACAAATCCATCACGTGTCTTCTGTGTGTTAAAGAAGTGTTCACAGGATGACTTCTGTCCACATATGGTTGGCATACTACTGTCTGGTGGTGTCAGGCCTTGCAGCTGTACAAAAGTCTCTTTGCCTAGAGCAAAGATGCTTTAAACCACCTTGGAATGATGGAGGGCTGATAACCATCATTGGTTTGACGTAGCTAAGTCATGTTACTTTTCTGTCTAGTGCCTTGCGTGTATAATGGCAACAGTAATTGCTTTCGGCATTGATCAGTCATTATTGTGCAAACCCCAATAAATCAAATAGTACACACATTTAATGAAACAAGCTAAACAGACTATGATTAGGGAATAGCCCAGAGTGCTGACATCTGTTTGGTTTTTGTAGTTACTATGTGGGCATGTGTGGAGATGGAGCAAATGACTGTGGCGTAAGTATATTTTTCTTTTCCATACAGAACTGTTCAGTTAAATTTCACAGCTGAAAGCAAGTTTTAAAATGTTCTCTATTTCAATGTTAACTGGCAGGCACTAAAAAGGGCACATGGTGGTATATCTTTGTCTGAACTTGAGGCTTCTGTGGCGTCACCATTCACTTCCAGGACACCCAGTATTTCCTGCGTGCCAAAGCTCATCAGGTAACGGCCACTTACTGTGAACTTAAATGCTTCCGTGTAACTCATTTTGCATGCCCTATATCAATATATGTTTGATGCTGTTGGATGACAGTTTGAGTTAAAGAACAAACCATACATTTTTAGTAGTTTTGTTTCTTTACTGGAGCTACTCTGAGCAAAGGCTTGCCATAGCATGATTTAGTATTTTGTTAAAAATCCTTTTGTCCATGTAAAGTTAGGGTTTTTTTTAGAGCATGAGCGAGCTTCTACACATTAGTATTTAATTTGATGTCCTGGTTTCCACAAATGCTGTGTGTAGTTGCAGGCGGTGAAATTCTTCAGATAACTGCTGAGCGCCATACAAAGCAGAAAACAAATTTTCTAAATGACCAATTTTTGATTCTAGAATTGGAAGTTGGGTGGTAATTTTTGGATAAAGGTCAGCCAGAGAAGAATCTAGTTAAGTCTATGTGGAACTAATGAAGTGATGCGTAATCAGAAACACTTCTGAAGTCAGCAGCTCTGTGGCTGTCTGCGTGTTCGTTCAATCTTTGTAGCAGACTAGTGCTTCATTGATGCTTTTGCAAGCAGACCTTCATGCTAAAACCTCTGTTGGAAAACCACGTACAGTCCAAAGAACACCAGAGAAAGGCAGTGGCTCAGTTCAGAAGGCATGCTCACAACTCTGCCATACTTGAAAGTGTACCTTTCTGGCCCCTTTTTCTCTGTATGTCTTCAGTCTAATGTCCCTCAGAGGGTTTGCTGATGTGTTTAACTGCAGCTAACGTTTTGCTAAACAGAATTTAACTGCTTGCACAGAAAGCTTTCTGGATACATGATTGCATTTGTTTTGACAGGGAAGGCCGTGCTGCTTTAATAACTTCCTTCTGTGTATTTAAGTTCATGGCGTTATACAGCATTATCCAGTACATCAGTGTTACTCTGCTATATTCTGTAAGTATTCTGTAAGTGCTTAAGCAGTGCCAACGTAATTCAGAGATTTGAAAATTGATAGATATTTAATACGAATTGTTCCCAGTCTCTTTGAGTACACCACACCCGCATTCTAAAAACTGTCTTTGGACTAAAAGCATTGTTAGTATTTTTTGCCTTTTTTTCATATATATTAACTGTATGAAAGCCATGGTAGTATCTATTTAAAAAAGGTCATAACTAGTGCCTGTGAATAGAAAGTCTTTACAGTGGGAAGTCCAAACAAGCATATAAATTGAACAAAAATACAATTTTCAATTATTTAAAAGCTGTCAGCATTTTAAAATAGCCCTCCTTTATTTAAAGGGCAATGCATTCCTTTCATGTAAGGATTGAAAGAGAGCAGCTTGCAAGTATTGAGTTTAGGAGAGGGAAAAAAGCAAAGTGGTTATTTCCTGTTAATATGATTGGATTCACAATATAGAGCATGAGGTAGAAATCCTGTATTTTAATTTATATTCTGAGTTAAACATGCGAAATATTAAAGGACCTTTGAGGCTGAGAATTTTACAGTTGTATGACTACATAGTAAGGTTATGGTGTTTAGAGAACTGTGAGACTAAGCTATTTCGTTGGTTTGTAAGGTTCGGTAATGTAAGTTTGATTACGAACAAATTTCAACTACAAATAGCTTATGCATCGTGAAACTGAATTTGTGTCATACCTTGATACTTCAGGAATTGATCTGTAAATTGTAGAGTACTCAAGACTCTGCAGATAAAGGAAGCCAGTTTGACAAGAGGCTGTCCTGTTTATAGAGTGAAATGTAAAGAATTAATGCTCTAGGAGTGTCACTGTAAGAGGTTTCTTGGTGTGAAGAAATTACCAATGTTTCAGTTGTGATTTCTGTCTAGATCCTGAGCAATTTGGGAGATTTCCAGTTTCTCTTCATTGATTTGGCAATCATTTTGGTGGTTGTCTTCACTAGTAAGTATTGTGCTGAATTACTACTGTTGTGGCTTGGTCAAATTTTCTTTAATATCTAATTATATGCTGTTTGGAGTAAGCACTGGGACATACAGTTAAGATGTTACGACCACTACAGTATATGCATTAAAAAAAGCAAACCACTGTGTACCAAGTTAGATTGATCTGGAGTTTGTGAAATGTCCTCATACAAAAAGCAGGTTGTGGGCATGATCTTAGAAAAGTAGTTTTTCACAGTACAGGAAGCCATAAATCTCTGCTGACATGAGGAAACTGGTTTTGGAATCAAGACAGGAGTTGTTCCAATATTATCTTTCTCAAATGTTTTGATTTCTTGCATTTTTGGTTGAACTTCTGTCCACAAAATGTCCTACTCGAAAGCTATTATCTAGTGAGGTATTTGATTCCACATATGAACCTTGCACTCAATTTACTGGCTAACAGTAGAATTCCGTTTTCAAGTAGAAACTGCTTCTTTGAAGCAAGGAGAGCGCAAAACTGAGGACACAAGCTGAAGGTCCTTGTGCCAGACAAATGGAATTTGGCCAGACACTGCTAATTCTTTAAGTCTCGTGGCTTCTATTATTGTTCCCTGCTGTGCTGTGCTGCTGAGGGTAACCAGCCTGTAGAAGGCACTGTGGCATTATTTTCATGTGGTATCATCTTTTCAAGGTGGTTTCACACTTGCAATTTTGACTAATTTTTGGGTGATGTCATGAGCAAGCCATTCTCATTCCACAGAAAGCGAACAGGGTAACTCTTGAAAACTGCAATAATGTAATGTGTAACTTGTTTTTCTTTCTCTTCGCAGTGAGTCTGAACCCTGCTTGGAAGGAGCTTGTTGCACGAAGGCCTCCATCAGGTCTTATCTCAGGTCCACTTCTGTGTTCTGTTTTGTCTCAGATCATCATCTGCCTTGCTTTCCAAATCTTTGGGTTTTTTTGGGTCAAACAGCAGTCGTGGTATGAGCCTTGGACAACGGAATCTGAGTAAGTGTTTCAGTGGCACTGTGCAGGATAGAGTAATGATTGGAAAGCTATAGGCAACAATTGCGCTCTCCTTTACTGACCCCCTTTGGGGACTTTGTAAATAAAGCTTCTGTGTGGCAGCTTGTTAGTCTGTTGAATTTTTTGTGAAAAGCATACTAATACATAGGAGTTACCCGATGGCTGAAATGCAAAACTAGGTCAAAGCCAGACTGCAGGGTCTGAAGACTCCTTGACTTTGGGACAGTTGAGATCGAAATTTGAAATAAAAGGTTCAGACATATTTTAACTCTTCTATATTGTAAGGTTTTGTTTTCCTGTTAGAGTTCCAGTAAATCAAATCTGAAAATGAAGAGGTGTTTTAATATTTTTTTTTTTAGATTGCAATGTTTTCTTACCTGTCTTCAAAGTGTATCTACAGTGATGGTTTCTAAACAGTTCATGTAGGGAACTTATAAGCTGGAAGCATAAAAGAACTCAAAGCTCAGAATTCACAAAAATTGCTATCTCCCAGCTGCAGTTTTATTTCTTACTACCTGTAATAGGTTTTCAAGGATAAGCTTTTTTACTACTGTAGCAATTTGCTCTGTCACTACTTTCGTTAATAATTAGGCCTTGTTTGCATCTTCTGCTTCACTGAGCGGAAATTTTTTTTTTTAATGTTCTAGTGCATGTAATGTGTTGGATGCCACAAATGCCAGCTCTGCACACCACGGGAATGAGACTCTTCGTGATGAGGAGACTCTTCATGATGAACATTACATTAAAAATTATGAAAACACAACTTTGTTTTTTATATCCAGCTTTCAGTACCTCATAGTGGCAATTGTCTTTTCTAAAGGAAAGCCCTTTAGACAACCATGCTACAAAAATTGTAAGTCCTTTCTTGCTATATACAGTTCCAAGTTAAAACTCCCAAGTGGCTGTGCACTTGTTTATCCGTGTGTCACTTACAGTTCTGTTGTGCCACTTCAGCAGTAATTGTGTTGCTGGGAGAACATAGTACAATTATCCTCTGATAATCAGAGGTAGAAATGGGGAGGTTTTAAACTGTAGGGAGAAATTTGTGTTAAGTAGTTGCTTTGTTTGGAGAAGTATATGTGTGTATATATTTCAGCTCCACAACTGAGCCAGCAAGAAATTGAGTCTGGCCTTCCGTCTCTCTATGGCTATCGGCACAACTTGTATTGCCAGAATCTGCCTGGAAGGGGTTTAGAGGGAGAAAAGAGTTTATTTCCGGGGAGTAATGAACCCATGACACGTGGAAAACCAATTGTGACATGGTCCAATTAAAATATTTTTTCTTCTTTTACAGTTTTGTTTGTCATATCTGTGATAGTTCTTTATGTCTTCATATTTTTCATCATGTTGCATCCTGTTGAATCTATTGACACATTTCTTGAGGTAAGATTCACCAGATATGCAGGTATCTGTACTTCCTCAGATAACTGATTGGTTGCCTTTTGGGCAAGCTTGATCCCTTTAGAGTTTTAACTTCGCATCTCTGAAGGGGGAAGGGAGAGTTTGTAACTCTGAGCCTGTTTGGAATGTGTGTTTACTTCATATGTGCGTGGCTAACCTCTGGCAACTTCTTCTTGCAGCTCGTCTGTGTGCCGTATGAGTGGCGCCTAAGAATTCTCATCATTGTTATTCTCAATGCAATTGTGTCCGTGCTGATGGAGGTAAGAAATTCAAACAGAAAAAATGCTTGTATGTTAAGTGGGGTTTTTTTCAGGGTGCACATTGGTCTTTTGGTTAGAAGGTCTCTCTTCACAGCATGCCAGTGTAAGTGGCCACTGTTTTCTTGTTAAGTTTGTATTCCTAAAAATGTTGTTGTAGGCTAGTTTTAAGGTGTCCAAGAATTTCAGTGTTAAAAGCATAGTTTTAAAAACTTTTTTATGAATTGGAAAAAAGGGGGGGAAAAGTTTAAAGACTTATAAATTATTTCAACTATTTCATGAGACAATACAGACATATTTATTTGTTGTGTTAATTAAGTTCAGAATAACTTAACATAGTAAAGAACTGTGTAAAATCCTTAGGGGAGCCCATCTCATTCAGTTGGATCATACACATAGCTTATTGTTCATAACTTGTTCATCTAATCTGATCCAAGTCCAGAAGTAGAGATATTCATGCAGATCTGCTTTTTCCAGCCCTGAGCCTGTCCAAAGTCAGTCACTCTGGATATTGACCTCTTCTGCTGTAATTCCAGAGTTAACGTGGGCAGAAACACGCCCTACCTTTCATCCAGGTACCCCTATGTTGTTTCCAAGAATTGAAGTTTGGCAGATACATCTTCCAGAAGGAGTCTGGATTCAAAGTCAGTCATTTATTCCTGTGGTTAGTTGTTCTCCCTGTTAAATTGATGCCTTGTTTCCAACCTGAATGCATTTGGGTTTTGGTTGCAGCCATTAGTCACTTTCTTTTTTTCTGCAACATGAAAAAGCCTTTCCACATTATCTAGCACTTGCACACTACAATTATCTGTCTTTACTGTAACATTTTTCTGCAGCTTGTAGTCAGTGTTTCCATTGCTATGTTTGGGATTGCTATCAAGGTAACCAGCGTAATGTTTGCTTGGACCATACCATTTTGGCCTTTGAAGGTTGCTACAGCATTACTATTCTTTCCAGTTCACTATTTTTTTCCTTTTATTTGCGACTTAGTAAAAATAAAATCAACCAAAGGTTTTTTAGATACTTTAATCAAAATTATCAAGGCTTTGTGTTCAAAATGTTGTTCCAAATAGAATTTGTAATACATGCTGTCACATTGCTGCCTGTTGGAACATGTTTTCAGTGTTTTCACAGGATAGGCGATAACTTGTCTTTTCCAAAACATGGCAGTAGATACTAATTTTTTTTGGCCTTTGCCTTATTATTAACAAGTTTATCCTTTCCTAAATATCCTGTGCCTTTCTTGCATTATCCTATATTTACTCTAACCTTGCTGGTGATGTTTTCCTTTTATGGCCTTGAATTCTTACTTTTTTTTGTACTGCTAAACTCTTAATAGTTTTATTTTTTACCTCCTTTTTTATTTGTTAAAAATTAAATTTTATGTATATAGCTGTCTTCGCTACTGAAACAAGATAGTTATTCTGAAGCTGCAGATTCGTAGCTTTTTTATCTTCTGATAAATTTAAAACCAGCCTCCTAGATAGAAATATTTTTTTCCTGTTAACATTTTCTAGTCGGTTTTGATGTTTTTATTACCATCTCTGGGAAGTTAGCTTTTTTGAAGCACTAAGATTATTCTGTGGAATTGAGCTTTGTGTTGGTACATGGAATGTAAATAGGTGGGGGTTACAATTTTCAGTCCAGTGATAAAGGTTACTGAGAGAAAGAAACTTAATCTTCTGCTGAGAATTTACTTTGTTCTGCAGGTGATCTTTCTAACTTCTATACAATCTGGTGATGTTTCTGTTCTGGAAGTGTAAGGGCCCCAGCAGAAAGGCTGTACAGTGTGTCAATCCATGTATCAGCCTGTGCCACTCAAGGACAAATGGTTCTCCTCCGATTTAAATGTTCATAAGGTTCCACGCTTGGGCCTTGTTAGTTGTGATAAATCTGTAAACTTCTGAATTTCTACTAAGCATAACCTAAGCGATATAATTACTGTAGAGTGTTTGCTTTCACCAGCCCACACTTTTTCCTATGCAGATTTCAGTTACTGTCTCTCAACACCTCAGTCGTTTTAACTGTCGTTACCAAAACTGGCAGGATGATTTGTCACATTCCTTTAAACAGACTTCCCTATTTATCTTATTGCCCGTACTTTAGTAGTGCAATAGAAGTACCTATAGAATTTAGTTTTCTTGACATTAATTGTTTGGAACATTCTGCTTTGACTTAAAACCTATTTCTTCCACTTTCACGCTTAGTTGACTGCGTTGTTTAGACAGAGAGAGGAGTTGTCTTACTGTACAGCAGGTCTCTAACAGAAGCATTGTCCAGTGATCCTCAAGTCCAAAACGATATGCGCGTCACCTTCCATGACTTCAACCTGCCTTTGACCCACCCTTTGAACTCTGTTAGTCCAGCTCCAGCAGGATTACTTGAGGCTCCCTGAAGCTTTTTCATGTGGTGCCAACTCATTGGGTCCAATGTGTTGTGTAGAAATCACAGGCTGTTTCATTCCTTCACTTCCAATATACTTATTGCCTTTCTGTCCTTGTGTACCTGGCTGGATTTTCTGCTCACTACGCTTTTCACTGGAGTTACTGGGTACCACAGGTCATATTCTGAGTATCTAGGTGGCATCTTCTTATTTCTTTTAACGAGGTACTCTGTATGTGTATCACCTAGAGTTTGTTCAGCTGACACTAATCCCTCAGTAATTGCCTCTTTCAGTGTCTCCTAACGATGAGATACATGAGGGATTGGATCGATCTTCTTTTGTCACACTTGCCAGTTAGACACTTTTGTGTCACACTACGATCATACATAGTTTCTTCATTGCTTCTACAACAGGAATAGTTTCTGACTGTGGTTGTCCCAAACATGTTTTCTGAACTGCTGTGCAAAGCATTTGCTCCTTCCATGTGGGTGCCAGACTAGGTTCACAAAGCACGCATATTCTTTGTACCAGATGATAGAAAATATTGCACAACAAAGACAAATCCTAGCAGATGTTCCTCCTTACCCCTGATGCCTGGTATAGACGTACTTAAACCAGACTGGCTTAAAAAATGAACATCTAATGAGCTGAAGATTTGTTGGGAAATGCTTTATAAAAACACTATAAAATGCCGGTATATTGTAAAATCTATTATAAACCTCTAGCTAATCAGCTCTCCTTTCTCAATGGCAGAGGTTAGTCAGATGTTAGAAATGGAATCTGTCCAAGGATCAGAGTCGTAGGCTCAAGGCCATGGGAGATACAGGTTCACACCTGCATTGCCGGGTTTGTTCAAGGCTCTCTAGTCCACCCACACAGCCGTATGAGAATAACCAGATGTACTGAACATACTGTTCAACTTCTGTCCTCTTTTCCAAAATCTGGAATGGCTCCTGCAGAATTCCTTCAGACTTTGTGCTGGTGGCTCAGCTTTGTCACCCCACTGAAGCTTTTCTGGGAATGACAGTGGTTTAAAACAAACTATGAACAAAGCATAGCTCCAGCATGAAGTACGCTATAATGTTAAAGATGGTTTGAGGGGAAACTGCTTTAAGCACTCGTGTCTGTGGTGCTTCACAGGTTTTTTGGAGTATTGAAGAATGTGTATTTATGATTTTTTTTACCTGTATCGATGGATGCAGTTTTGGTCATTGTTGCTATCGATTTGAAGTACATGTTCATATTCTTAAATCTCATGTGAGCACTTTAAGAGTGAAAATGTTTATCACTTAAGTACTGACAAGTAACGTAAGCTCTCCATTTTGCCTGGCACTGAATTAGTTATGCCTAACACACTATTTCAGGTTTTATTTGTAATGTGCACACTAACAACAAATGATCATTAGTTTCTTTAATTCTTCCCACTCACTGCAATGTCTCACAGAATGTCCTCCTTGATATGATCCTTTGGAAGGTTGTGTTCAATCGAGACAAACAAGGAGAATATCGCCTCACCATACCCCAGCCGCCTCAGGTTGGAGACTAGTATTTTGCTGTCATCGTTTGAGTGCATGCAGATTAATTTGGTTTTGTCTTTTCATGATCTATAAGTGTCTGTTGCCTTATCTTAAGCTTAAGACTACTTAGATTAGATTTCTGTAACTAGAATATTGAAAGGAAAGGCTTCTGGTTTTGTATTTTTCTTCCCATTGAGACGTAAAGAATTTAGCTCTGTATACAAGAACAGTGAAGCAAACCCAGAGGATTGCTTTTAAGACTTTTCTTGCCTGATCTGCAGTTGGCGCATTAGGAAATTAATTATTTGTGTTGTCACAAGTTACCATGGTAGGACTGGGAACATCTTGATTTGCTTGGAAGCAGAATTGCTGATGCTGGGTCTAATCCAGTTCTTTATTAAATTAATTTGGTTTAGAGTTTTAGATCATTGTCTGAGAGCAGTAATTTATAGCACATATAAATGAAATGAAACAAAATGGCAATGAAAGTGCATTATTACTGGTTCAGATGGTTTAGGAGACAAAGGATTTGACTTTGGCTTTTCGGGTGGCCCTGGTCTAGTCTGCCCCTCTGTCATTAATATATGAAGGAAATCTATGTGAATCCCATAAAATCCAGCTTTTTCTTTAAGCCTGTTGGCTGATTGCTTTTAGCTGGTTGTACATTTGGTTTTGCTACAATTACAATGGTTTATTTCTCAGCACTAAATTTTATTAAACATATTCATTTCAGATTTAAATTTGTCCTTTTGAGTCTATTCAGGAACGAATTGCTTTGTGATCACTGAAGAACAGAAGTTGTGCTTAAGGCTCATGTTTGGTTCAGTTCATCAATTGATAGAAATTCAGAGCATGGAGAAAACCATAGAATACGTATCTCCTTTACAATGTCAGCCCTGCAGACTGTAGGTGCTTTCTGAGACATGAGAGGCATCCAGTCTCGAGAATGAGGAATAGTGGGGTTTTTTTCCAGCTAGTTAAGTTACAGGCATTTAGGACTGGGAGAGGAAAAATAGGAAGGAAGACTTAAGTTCAATAATTTGTGTCTGTTTTAGTAACTATTAATACCTGTAGGACTTAAGTTTTACAGTATGAGCAAGTTAAATTCTGCCACTTCTGGCTGGCTGGCTGCCTTCAGTTAAAACAATTCATTGCTAAAAGTGTTTTGAGACTGGGAATTTGACTGCTTTTTCTAGACCAGGTTTTAATCTTCAATAGTAACATCATTTAATTGTGCCTGTTTTGCCTGTGTTTATTGAAAATATTATATGCATAAAAGTTGGTGATCTTAGGTGTTACGATAATGTGGAGTACTTGGGTTTTCCTAATGTTTTTTGAAAGTCATTGCTACCATAGTACATAAGAGAGATGACTCAAGAGAAGAGCTTTTGTACTACACTTTCTAAGTCCAATGTGACAAAGAAATAGTAAATTATCATAGAACACCAGGTTGGAAGGGACCTCAAGGATCATCTGGTCTAACCTTTGCTTGAAATTATTGGAAACTAAATAAATTATTATAACATGAAAATTTTTAATAATTTAAATTATTTTAATATATTAAATAATTGTAGTAATTAGAAACTAAAATAACAGTTTTTCTTCTAGCAATTTACTGTATTGTTAGTTACATTAATTTTTTTCTTACAGTAATCCAATTTCCAAATCTGTTCACTTCTGCAGGAGGCTGTGGATCGCTGTGGAGTCTGCTTCCTTTCTTCCCTGTTTGGTTGTAGAGAGAAGACACCAAAAGCCAAGTATATGCATCTAGCTCAGGAACTGCTGGTTGATCCAGAATGGCCACCAAAACCCAGAACAACAACAGAAGCTAAAGTACCATCCCAAGAAAATGGTTCATATCAAATCATCACTGTAACGTAACAGTGGATCTCGGTGGCATGTGTCTTTAGTAGTATTCAGAAGAATGTAATTTTAAGGCTTTATTTGAAATTGCAGTATACTAAATGTCAAATTCTAATGCAGATATTTCCAACTGTTTTGTCTCTCTGAATACAAAATTCAGACACAGGCATCTTATGGCTATACATTTTAAAAATGTAGGTTACCTTAGGCAGAACAAACAGTGATTCCTTCCACCTTCTTTCAAATTTCATTGTTCCTAAATGAGATAGATGTATTTGCAGGTTTAAACTGCAAGGCAGTTAAAACAGGTTCACTTTATTTGCCTGGAGTATCTTAATCATTGTTCTAATCTGCTTACTTGGGCACGTGTTCATGTAAACCCTGTGATGGAATGTTTTCTTGGTAGTACTAGAGGCACATAATCTGTCATGCTTTTTTTTATGTTCGCTGTTGAAAAGCTTTGTGCCTCAGAACGGTTCTAAAGTTTTGGTGTGTGTACCTCTAAGTTTGTCCCTGCTAGTAAGGAGTGTTTGGGTTTTAAGTTTAAT